GGCAGAGAATGCATAGTGAACTAGATGCTGTAGATAGTTGCATTAGATGCAGTGAAAAGGGTTCTTGCCTAAAGGGCAATGAGATCAGTGTAGCTCAGTACTGCTTGCTGGTTTTGTCTATTTATTTGCTCAGAGGGGATGCAACTTGCTTGACTTTTTTTTTTTTTTTTTTTTTTTAAATGTTTCCATTAATTTAAGCCTTCCATCCTTCCCCTGTGCCACACATTTAACTCTAACAGAAACATGTCCCTTGTTTACATGAACAGCAAGATAGCAGCTTTACTTACATAACAGATTGCCTGCAGAAAAGTGCAACTCTTTCAGATTACAAGTAGTCTCATGTGCAAAGCCAGATAGTACAGGGATTAAAAACCCAACCAAGAATTAAGAGTCTCCTGGGAGAAACAGCACTTTACCCGGAGCAATAGGGACTGAGCACAAGTGGAAAAGACTCGCAGGATTGTTAGGAGTTTTGTTGCCATGAGGGGGTGCAGGGGGGATAGCAGCAACAGGAAAGCTTTAAACTGTGTCAGAGCTTTTCCTGCTCAAAAGTTTCAAATTGGCAATGCAGCTTTGCTTTACAGACATTCAGACTGCTCAACAAAAATCCTATATGCCTCATTTGGGTTGTCTTGCATCCGCAAGGTCCATTCTGGAGGTCTGGCTCGAAGTTTTGGCTGAAAGGGGTCTCGGGCCAGGTAGTCACCAAGGTTACTCAGATCAACAGCAGGCACCTGGGGCTGTGACTGTGCTGTGTAAGGCATCCCACTTGGAGAAGATTCCTGGAGACAGAAGTCCTTCTTTGTACGTTTTTTCTTCATTACCATGCATGCAATGCTAACCACCACCACAAGAATCAGTGTGACAGATATGATGGCACCTATCAGAATTTCCATGTAACCAAACAAGCTGCCAATATCTGAAAAGAGAAAAGGAGGTGCATGAGAGGGGTGCTGGTTTTATCTTTCAGTTTATGGTCTTCTACTATGGGGCTAATAGGAATGGAGGGTTTACATTTCAAGTCTGGTCTTCATAAAGCACTACTCTACACTCTTAAGCTCAGTCCTTTGAGAAAACACTCTGTGGGACTGGTTCATAGGTGTCACCACAGATCTTAAGAGGGATCTTAAGACAAGAAAGGTTTGTAAGCCTTGGCCCCAAAGCTTGATGCTACTTTTGCCAGCATAGTTGCATCCTAGGTAGAATCCATGAGGGACATTTGCATTTTGTTGTAGATGCAGTTGTACTGGCAAAACTGCCATTTCACCAGTATGGCTTATTTTGTACAAGGATAGACACGTGTTTTCACCAGTGTTAGCTACTTCCACACTAGGAGTAAATCTTCCGGATACAGATCTACGGGTTGGTTTTTTTGCCAGAACAAGACACCCTACTGTGGACCTGACCTCAGGTAAGTAAGTAAGAGTGCAATTGTCAGACAAGTACTTGGCAGTATTATTTCAATGGAAGTCTGTAGTCACATTGAGCGAACACTTTCAGCAGCACTTGATCAGTTAATTGCTATTTGCAGAAACGTTTGACACAGCTGTTCACTGCAGCTAGGATGATCAGAAGGCCAACTGCTAATGCTTCAGCATCCCTTACTGGGATGTGAGCTATGTAGTTTGAAACAGAGGCAGCACCTGGAACTGGCAGTTAGACTCTCAGTTTCTAGGGCTGCACGAAATTTCAATGGGCGTTTAGTTTCAAAGCTGTTTCAATGCATTTCGAGCTCAAAACCATGAAAATGGAAACAAAAATTAAAGGCTTCAAAATTAAATGAGAGAACTTGAAACGTTTTGAAATGTTTCGAGTTTTGAAGCTGGGCTTTCTTGTAGCTAAACAGGAACTCGGGGGGGGGGGGGGGGGGGGGTGGCCTAGGACTGCTCCAATATTGAAGTCTAGCTCCTGGTTTAGTTCCCTAGCTCTGACTGCTTCCCCCAGCTCTTCACAGGGGGTGTGGGCCCCCGGATAATGCGAGATTACAGCAGGCTGCCACTGCCACCAAGTGATACAAGTTTTGCTTTGAAAATTGAGATGCAGTTTCCCAGAAACCCCTGCATTTATCTCCTTGAAACTTGGCAGGCTTTATGCCCTCAGAAGGGGCTACCATCCCTGCAATTTTCATAGATTGTAGAGTCGGAAGGGGCCACAGAAGACCAAGGTCAGATGACCCCAGCCAGGTGACTATCAAACCTCCTCTTGAAGACCTTCAAGTTAAGTGATAGCAACACCTCTCTTGGAAGCCCATTCCAGATTCTGGCCACCCTTTCTGTAAAAAAAAGGTCGCCCTAATATCTAACCTGAATCTACTCTCCACCAGTTTGCACCCATTATTCCTAGTTACTCCTAGGGGTGCTCTAGTAAAAAAGTTTGACCTGTAGAGCTTGCATCCAAGTATCAGAGAGTTCCTGGGACCCAAGTGCTCAGCTCAGGTAGCGCAGTTTGCCCTATACCAGCCTCCTCAACCACATGAAAGTGGTCCTTCAACAACAAGCCTTTCAGACAGTCTCTGCCTGAATCAGGCAAGCAGTGACAAAAAAAAAAAAGTAGTATAGGATTTTCATGATTCCCCATTATAGCCTATGGGCAAAAACGTCAAAACAGCTTCAATGAAACTGAACAGTGCTTTGAAACAGCAAAACAAAGTACCGTCCCTTCAAGCTGCTGAAACTAAATGGTGCCGTTTCACATAGTCCTAGCTTCCACAGAAAGAACACAACAGCCCTCATTTTGCCTTCCTTTAGGCGTGGGGGTGGCCTCCAGCAATTGCTGGTAATCAGTTAAAATCCAAGGCTATCTAAATCAAACCTTCTGGTGACAGAGACTCATCTGGTAACCCTGGTAGCTCAAAGCCTAGTGT